CAGAACTGTTCTAGATTAGAGTTTTACTTAGCACAGCCTCACGCATAAATAAAATAGTAGAAAATACTAGGTGCCATGATGAAATGTTTAGTCACCATGGTGACTTAGTCCCCAGGATTTGCCGAGGCCTGTCCTATACACAGATTAAAGTAATGTGGAAACAGCGAATCACATTAACTTGGTATATAATAAATGGTGTTGAGTTGATGTTGTTAGGGAAACAGTTGTGTTTTACTTATAAACTGTCATGCTAATTTTTTTCATGATTTACTTCCTCACCTCAGATTTAAATGCTTCATCTGCTACAACAACCACATACAGAACAACACGGGAACTGATTTTAGTGTAGCTGTTGCTTTATTAGCCAATGCTTCATCTGCTACAACAACCTATATACAGAACAACATGGGAACTGATTTTAGTGTGTCTTTCTGAGATCACAAACTTCTGGTAACTAGTCTTGATTTACTCATAACCAGAATTAAAAAAAAACAACTAAAGACTGTAATTTTACTTAATAGTTGTATAACATTTACTTGTGTGAAACTAAACAATCAGCAAACTGGAACAAAAAACAAATTATATCAAAAGGAAGAAAAGCATGAATTTTACAAAGCATATCCAAACAAACCTTAGATGAAATATAATCAAATGTAATTTTATGGAGAGAGAAACAAAACAAAAAACAGCCACAAAATGTTTTTTTAAAGTACTGTCAGAAGTAACACCCAAAATAAATTGGGGGTACATCATCTATCCAGTTTAAAAAAAAGAAACAAGAGGGAACACTCAATAGCCACAGCACTTGATATTCTTTTAGGCAGGATTAAAATAAGTTAATCTATGAGACCTTTTTTTCCTTTTTATTAGCTATATTTTTGTGCACCAGCAATACCAATCGTGGGGTGCACGTATACCCGATTCAATTTTATTACTCATCAGGATCTCTACCAGCCTATCCTCAAATTGAAATTCTTTTAGGCAGGATTAGAGTAAATTAATCTATGAGGCCTTGGGCGTGGTCAAATACACCAGTTGAAAGGGTTTGACCTTCTGGTACACCATGATACTCCATGAATTAAATGTGCTTCATTAGTGAAAGATAAACAAGAAATGTAAGTTAATAGCCAAACTTTTATTTCATCTTTGATATAAGTACTTTATATGACATTTTAGTAGTTTGATTAGCTAGTGCTGGTAGGTTAATCCTTTAACTCATGCTTGGCATGTGACAGGTCTCGGTTTAAATCTGAGGCGAGGAAGTAAATCATGAAAAAAATTAGCATGACAGTTTATAAGTAAAACACAACTGTTTCCCTAACAACATCAACTCAACACCACCAAGTTAATGTGATTCGCTGTTTCCACATTACTTTAATCTGTGTATAGGACAGGCCTCGGGCATTGGCTAATAAAGCAGCAGCTACACTAAAATCAGTTCCCATGTTGTTCTGTATGTAGGTTGTTGTAGCAGATGAAACATCATGACACCATCTATCACATCATATCATGACACCATCTATCACAACACACAATGACACCATCTATCACATCACATCATGATATCATCTATCACAACACATCATGATATCATCTATCACATCATATCATGACACCATCTATCACAGCACACCATGACACCATCTACCACATCATAATACTCTCTATCACATCATAATACTCTCTATCACATCACATCATGATACCATCTATCACATCATATCATAACATCATGATATCCCTGTAATTCATCATACTATGACACCCTTCTATTACATTATATATTATACACCTCTGTTACACCATATCATGAAACCCCAAATCCCATCATATTGTGATAACCCTCTATAACATGATGACATCACTATCACATCATATGATGTTGTATTCTTAAAATCAAAAATTAACATACGTCTTAATTACTCATTAGTAACAGGTATGTTTTACGTTTTTAAATGTTTGTTGATGTTGCTGCTTGACATTTAGATAAGCCTTCAAAAACAAACATGGTCAATAAATTCTACACGATTATATTATGACCACAATAATACTAACCAACTTTAATGTTCACTTATTTATTAATAAGGCTTGGAGAGTACTTCTGAGTCAAAGATTTTGCTTGTACAACGTTTAGGTCCCTGAACTTACCTGAAGAAGGCAAATGAAGAGTGCCAAAATGTTGTCCACCAGATCTAATATCTTCCAGAAGGTTGTCTGTTAAGAAGCACATATTATGGACCAACTCCTGCTGCCTATGACATCCTACAAGCAATACTTTTCAACTACATTTTAGAAACATACCTGTCTATAATCCACTGTGAAAGCTCCCAAGTATGCTATCATGCCAGCAGACAAAAGGACGTCACCAACAATGTTGCTGTAACGTTCTGAAAGAGCAATAGCCACTTCACTCCATCTCTCTTTCTCTCCCCCAAGACCACCAATGAGGCGCTCCGCTCTTTCAAGCTTCTTTGAACACAGTTCAATGCTGTCCTCCAGATCCTTTTTCTTTTTTGTCATAGCAGCAAATTCATCATTTAGAGCTTGAAGTTTGTCTGTAACCTAAAAAGGTGAGATGAGGATTTCATTATTAGATATTACAGTAAAAATCACTGGTGAGAAATAAGGTTAAATCTGTACGCTTACAGCTTGACAGTTCTTTCTCTGAAGTGATAGTGGAAAATGCAGATACCTTTAATAACATAAACAGGAAACAGTTTGATGTTTGTCACATTTATTGTGGAAACAAGAAGATGTCTTGTTATTTTTATAAATAAAGAATATCTATCTGGTGTAGTAAAACACGTTAAACAACAATTCAAGTAATAAACCATTTGAGAAATTAAACTTGCACCAACACTATCTATGGTGGGTAACTTAAGGCTGCAAACTCTAAAACTATTAAAATGGAAGTGAAATTCTGAGATCTTATGTTCGGTTCAGTTTTAAAAGTGAAAATACAGTTGTTTGCGGAACACAATTCCTTCTAGAATAATTTCAGTCGACGTGAATAAAATAATGACCTACATCTCCAGAATGTACCTTTATTGGCTCAATATTTCACAATTATAGCTACCAACAGCCTATGAGTTCACTAATCCAGTATGGTATAGGTTGTTATTTTATTTACTTTAATAGAAATATCTTGTGATAAATTCCGGTCTGTGTCAAACAAATTTAAGAATAGCACCTTCTACAACCCCTTGAATTTTTTAACAGATACTTACCTCTTGCAACTGTCTTTTTTTTTCATCTAATCGTTCCATCTGAACTGTAAGTTCAGCCTCGGCTTCGGCTAGCTTTTCCTTCTTTGGTGCTACTACTTTAGCAACTCGGTCGTACACATCAATGGCTCGGACCCAGCGGCAGAGCCCTTCGCATGCTAGTGACACATTCTTGATAACAGCAGGATCAAAATCAGGATTCTGTATGAACCTGTAGTGTTTTAAACAGAGTTATTATACTGAATAAAAATATTTCTTCTTATTTAATTATGGTTGTAGATATATATATCGTCTTTGTCACAGGCTTTTATACTGTCTGTATTTCTTCACAACAATAACAAACATTATGATTGTTTTAATGTATTAAAAGCTCACCTTTCCCTGACTTTTTTAATTATAGTTGGAGATATACTGTCCTTGTCGTAGGCTTTTAAGCTGTCCAGAAACTTCATATCTCCCAACATTTTCTGCGATGGTCCCCAGTAGTCCTCGATCATTTTTCCAGAGCCATCTGGGTCTGGTTTCCTTTCTGGCTTAAACCCCTTCATGATGCAAATGGCTTCCATCACAAGTTTTACTCCACCAGGGGGATTCTACATTGGAGATAAATGAGCATGAAAGTCATTAACAGGAACAACTTTTTGTGTAATAAGTTAGTACACTTTTATGACCATGTAAAGGTGATATCTAAGTGATTATATATGTTTCAGTAATGAAGCTAAAACTTTCCTATTACATGAAGATTTCACAGCAATGAGATTATTTTTATGACAAAATTGTGTCTTTCTTTGATTGAGATTAAATAAATGTACTTATCTGAACTTACAATATTTCATATTTAACTTTATCCAGAACATAGCACAAACTAAAAACTGAAAAACATTCATGGTTACAAGTACTACTTTAAAACAGCAGAAGTTTATTTTTGATAGTTAATGTTTTACAATCTTTATAGATAAACAAAACTTCTGTAATGTTCTGTATTCAGTATAATCAAATTACTTTCAAGGTTGGAATAACTTCAACTAAATCTTATTCTCGATAAATCCTTACCTTCATGGACTTTACTACCGTTATGTCCTGTTGTTTCAGAGTATTCAATGCAGCCACAGCACTTTCCAATGCTGGAATAGCTTCAGCTAAATCTTTAGCACACTCATCTTTAATGGCCTGGGCAGCAGCTGCTGCTTTATTAGCCAATGCGATGTGATAGATGGTATCATGATATGATGTGATGGAATGGTGTCATGATGTGATGTGATAGATGGTATCATGATGTG